AGGGTGGGAGCCTGCACCACCTCACTTGGAAGCTGGTTCCAGACCCTAGCCGCCCTGACCGTGAAGTAGCGCCTCCTGATGTCCAACTTAAACCTTCCCTCCGCCAGCTTGTGACCGTTGTTCCTGGTCACTCCTTGCGGCGCTCGGGGGAACAGGGACTCCCCCAGTGCCTGCTGATCCTCCCTAACCAGTTTATAACAGGACACAAGATCCCCCCTCAGCCTTCTCGTTTGAAGGCTGAACAAGTTCAGGTCCCACAACCTTTCCTCATAGGACCTACCCTGCTGTCCCTTGATCATACGAGTGGCCCTCCTCTGGACCCTCTCGACATGTTGTACTATGGCTCAGCAAATCAGTGGCCTCTGACTTTTGTGATTTGAATGATTGACATCTGAGGGAAGAACTTGGCTGTGCAACCTTCCATGAAAGATAAATGCTAAGCACCTGAAAACATTATTAGCAATCCTCTCTTAAAATTAGGAAAGAGAAACATGGGCTATTAAACCAATCATGAACTCTTTGCTACATGCAGAAACTCTCACTGAAATCATATGAAGTTATTTATGTGCAAAGTATTCAGGATTGAGGTTTAGCCAGATAACAACCTAAGTCTCAAATAAGATCAAAATTGCCTGAAATTTTAAGACTGTGATCTTAATGACAAGTACTTCCCCTCTCTTTTCCTATAACTAAGTAAAGCAAAAGTCTGAATTCAAACATAGGACTGCAAGGCATCTCTAAAGCCATCAAATTCACTTTCCTGTTTTTGCAAGCAATCATTTGTCCAACAGATCCACATTAATCTCACAACTCACAATCTCAAAGCACCCAAAAAAATTAAAGAAAAAAATCAGTTAATATGCTGGGGGGAAAGGTTACAGTCAATGAACTGCCACTGTAAGAGCCAGGAATTATTATACTGCTATGTGCTTGAACAATCTTAGGGAGAAGACCATGTCATGTACTACAGAGGACAGCAAAAATGCCACAGTTCTTGACAATCTGACTTGGAGAAAAAATTCCTTCTTGACCTCAATATTGGCAATATGTTTGATTTGGACTACATAAGTAATACCCTCCAGTCAGGTACCTGAGAGATTTCTAAGGACTAGCAGGAGGGTGAGTGCTTTCCAGGAATGCTCCCACCTCTGAGATGGGGTAAGAAGTGTTTCAGAAGAAAGCAACCCCCCCCCCACCACCACCACCATCAAACTGGAAAGCAAAT